TCATATACAGAGACTGTTGACCTTTGCCGGAATGATTTCCTAGGACAATTATTGATTGAATGGTTTTCTTTACATTCCCCCACTGCGCAGCATGACGCAGGGGAGTTTTCCGGATGGTTTAGGGATATTCTATTGGCAAAATCGATTGTTAGCCGCATGCCACAGATCCATGGCTGGGAATCTCGCTTTGAGGCCAATATTGAAGACAAAGGTTGTTTGCATGTCCCTGTAGTTCTTAGATATTTGCCACCGGATGCTCAGATTCTTCAGGCCCTCATTGAAGCCTGCTATGACAATGCTCCGTATAATGGTATTATAGGGCCGCATGCGCTTTGTTGTCCCGATTCTGACCGTCCACAGGTCCGGAGCGTGCAGCTCATTCTGTCCAGGTGCATTCTTGGCCCAGCTTCTCATCTCATCCTGGTGAGAGATGAAGGCGTAATAGACACGTCTTCCGATGTATTTATTCGACGATTTGGGAATAGTGAAGAGGAAATTAATATTGCCTTTACAAAATGGGGATCTCTATATTCCCTAGGTGATACAGGACTCTACAACAACATGAATCAACCAACAACTTGCAGATAGACAATGCTTAGAATACCCATTTTATATTTTTATATTTGATTGTTACGTCATTCATGGAATGAATTCTCTGTATCAAGCTTCAAAATGAAATCCCTAAATCCTTTGCTTGAGTTGATCGCCAATACAAAGGAGGAAGGCCTCTTCACCTTCAAAAATAGAATTCAACTCCCCAAAAAGCGACAACATGACTTTAGGCCGCACGCAACAAAGGACTCTCCGGACTGAGGAGGTCTTTTCGAATAATGGTGATATCACTCAAATACCTCAATTCAATTATTACCTGCACCATCGAGCTAATATTACTGTTAAGAAAATCTTGGAACCATACACTGGATCAGGTAACAGCTAGCAGCTAAGCTAGATGCGAACACGCCAACCCAATTTGATTGAATTTTTCAGCATATAATGTTCAGAATCTATATATTTTTCGAGAATGGATTAACATAGATTCAGGATGAATAATTGGCAGAATAGAATTTGACACTCAGCAATGGAACGTAGGATTATCTCAAATGATGGCATGCGGAAATTTTGATTTTTGGAATGATATAGAAAACAATATCAGGAAATAAGGATGATAATTTTTAATAATATATAGATATATAAATAATAAATATACTATAAACAATCCTTTTCTGGATTCTGAATCCCTAGTTTGGAAAAAATACCTTTAATGCTATTGATCAATTGCGTAGCTGTTCGATACCTAGAGCCTGGAACGACCGTTTTTTTTTGGTTGTTTGGTGAAACAACTGTTTTTATTGAAAACGACTCAGAAAAATGGTCTTTTTGTGAAACGACTGTTTTCTTTTCATACCGACTGTATTTGTTGCATATGGGCAGTATCGCTAGATTGAGGGCTTTGAGAAGCCCTTTGGGCTTTAACAAGCCCATGAGGCTAGGCGACTATATACATTATGCATGCATATATGCTGCAGCCCTGTGGCTTCAATCTCACCATGTCTCATCCGAAGGGGTGAAGAAGCAGCTTGATGTCAAGCTCTCAGTTGCTGCATTGTTCGCAGAAGAATTCAATCAATATGTTGCTGCTGCACTTCCATAAGCTGTTTTGGCTTATCGTACTGCTGGGCTTGACTTCGTTTGTGCCTGTGGGTATGGATCTCGAGGGGCCTGTCCAGTCGAGGAGGGTGGCAGAAGCCCTGTCAAAGATACCTCCCTACAAGTTTCTCAAGTCTGAGGAGTGTTTGCGGGATGTGCACCTGGTGCTTGAGCGGGTGGCATCCTTGAGAGTCCAATCTCAAAACGGTGAACCGTTGCTGCGACCGCTGCCTATTAGGAAGTCTGAAGCAGGCAAGAAGCAGACCAAACAACGGATCTATGAGATCAGCTCTCTCAATGCAGATGTTGTCCAAGTCTTCTTAGAGGTCATGGCCAGTGCTGGAGTGACGAAGACCCCAAGTGTGGATGCTCTGAGTTTCTTGCATGCACTAATGTATATGGTGCAGAATTGCCTTTTCTGCATGACTGTTGAATTGTTGAACTTTTTAGGCTATGAGCTGTGGAAGTTTCATCTGGTTGCGGGGTTTCCTTACGAGCACCTTGCAGAGCACCAGGGGCACATTGATGCACATGAGCTGAAACCTGTGTTTGGCTTTCTGCGGAGAAAGTGGAAACGTCAAGAGAGACCCAGGGATCCTTGGCTGAACTCTTCTGTTCTGTGCTGCAAGGAATGCGTGTAAGATCAGTTCTGTTCCCCAGGACCGGAGAGTTCGCCAGCTTGTTGAGTTCTACAAGATTGCTTTTGATGAGATGGTCACGAGGTTGGGCCCGCAAGGTGCCCAAAAGGTCATTGAGTTGGAGGACTCTGATTGTGAAGATGGCCAGGGCCCAGAAGAGGTTGAGTACACCCCAACTGAGGAGGATGTGAGGAGCCTGTGCCTCAGGTTGCTGAGCCCAAGCCGGCCAAGCAGTTGCCTGGTTGCTCTTCAAGTTCCTTGGATGGCATGAGCAAGGACGACCTGGCTCTAGTTGTCCAAGCGGCTGAAAGGAAGATGCAAGCAAAGCGATTGATTCTATTTTGCACTTAAGGGGGTTGGGTGTCTGGGCTTTAGGAAGCCCAGCTGGGCTTTTGCGAGCCCATTATTTTGCACTTAAGGGGGTTGAGTGTTTGGGCTTTAGGAAGCCCAGCTGGGCTTTTGTGAGCCCATGTGGAGTTTAGTTTATGCCATGTTCATTTAAATCACCAATTGAGGATGGCAGAAGAACGGGCTCGAGTAAAAACCCTCTCCAACAACAAAGCATTCAGTGCATCCTGCATGCTTTTCATATGTGCTATATAACAATCAACTTGCACACGTGCCAGGTGAGGCCATAGTCTTGGAGGACACCCCGGAGAAAGGGAACCCTGACAACTTTTTGACTATCCCGATGGAGGTGAACACACAGGTTTTTGAACTTGCCTTGGGAGATTCTGAAAGGATGACGCCTGAACCAACACCAGAACCCAAACACACTGTGCCCGTGGACGCTGCTTCCGTGAAGAAGACTTCACCTCCCAAGATGGTTTCCTGCTTGCAGCTGTTTGTTTAATTTGAATTGATTGAGTGAGTAAATTGTCGCAGTTCATAGATGCATGGTCTCATTGTTCAGGTTCTTGAGCGCAGCCATCAGCTCCATGCAAAGTCTGGCAAGACTGCTGCAGAAGCTGTAGAGACACACGAGGAGGTCAAAAGCAAACGTGCTGAAGGTAAGTCAAAGGGTCAGCCACAGCAACGTAAGGCTGAAGCTCCAGCAGAGGTCAAGGAGCCAACAGCAAAAGCTGAGGCAAAGGGCAAAGCAAAGGCAAAGGGCAGAGCAAAGGCTAAGGGCAAAGCAAAGGCTAAGGGCAAAGCACAGGCTAAGGGCAAAGCAAAGGCTGAGGGCAAACGGGCAGCACCTGAGGAGCCTGAGGGTGAGGAACCCCTGCCCAAACCCAAGAAGACTGCCAAGCCTGGTTTCCCACTAACCTTTGCCCGACGCTACCGACCTGATGACGAACAATCAGCCTTGCACTGGGAAAACAAAACGCTGGCCTTCATCATGCATGTGCACCCCTCCTGCACAGATCTGAGCAAGACTACATTGGAGGCGGGAAAAGTTGCCCCATGCATAATTGAATTTGAGCATTGATATTCCACATGTAGGCCCAGTTTTGGAAGTTTGCGACCAATGACTGGAACCTCAACGGGGAGGATGACACGAACAATGCTCTGAAAGATTTCTATGAATGCTCAGCCAGGAATTTTCTTAAGGAGAGATACTCCATGAATACTTTTGCTTTTGCATATGCAATGCATGCATTAAGTCATGGGGTGATTTGAGGATATCCTGAACCGGCCGGTGGAGCCGATGGAGTGAGATCTAGTGATCTTTGTTGCTGCTAGCGTCATTTGCGTGGGGTTGCCACTTCCAATTCGGAAGTGCTGTGGTGTAGCAAGTGCTAGAGCCTGCAGCGTACTCTGATCAAGGAAAACTAATCTGCAAGATTGCACGAACATATGACACATTTATGAAACACACGTGCATGTATTTGATGTTTGATCAGGTCATGGCTGGCAAGCGAAGGCTTGTTGGTTTGCGGTCAATGGCCCGAAATGGCCAGTTGCAGAAAGTCATGAAGCAAAGTCGAATTATCATGATTTAATGCTGTTTTGGTGTTGTGCATGCACTTATTGTGGTACGATTGAGTTGTTGGTGCCAGAGTTTGTTGGGGATCAAGCATTCCCAGCTCACCGCATTTTGCTATGGCGGCCTGGGATATTAATGGATTAGTGGTTGGCCTGGTGAAACTCAACTGTCCGAAGGTACCTTAACTCGATTATTGGAGACATGTCAATGTTAACTTTCAACCTTCACTGTTGCTCTCCCTGCAGGTATTTATACTGATTGTGCTGGTGGTGGTGTGGAATGCAGATGTGGCGACAGTGGAGGTGGCAGCAAATCCACTCCAGGCTGACAGAACCTTTGTGTTGCTGCTGGGGAAACATTTATGCAATTGTGAGCTGCATCTCAGCCTTGCATTGGTGTGATGTTGATCGCATGATTGCACGCAGCATCCTGTGGCTCAATCCCTATGCCGCGGGGTGCCAAGAGCACAGCCATGAGTAAGGCTACACGTGCATTGGCGCAGGCGGTTCAGGACCTGAACCGCCGTCAAGAGTAACAACATCCACGTGCCCAGGCTCACGCTTTGTCATATATTAATAGGCCTGACGAGGCTGTATGGGCCTGATGAGGCACCATTCTTCTTTTGGTGGTTGGGCCTGACGAGGCCCACCATCATGCAGCCTGTGGAGGCTACATAGTTTCATATGGGTCAAGCGCCTGATGAGGCTCTGGCTCAACAAGTGTATGTTCTGTTTGCTCAGGAGGGGGCGCAGCATATGCAAATGCTGATGCGCACCATGTGCACCATGATGCAAGCGCAAGCGACCTTTTTTGGCTCGACTTTTGGCAGAAATGTTGCTAGGCTGCAGCTATATGCATGCATGCTTGTACTTTGTTGAATTTCCTGTGCAGCTTACTGTATTCGTATCTGAGGCTGGTGAAGATGATGATCAGGTTGCAGGATGGCCCCGCCTGAGTGAAGTGGACCAGAATGATCATGGTGATGATGGACATGAGGTGGGCTTGTGCATTTGTTGCAGTTTTGAGCGTTGTGGCCAATTATATAACACTGCCAGGATGGAGAGGGAGAGGGGCCGGTCTTCGTACCTTCAACATCGGCACCTTCAACTTCTGCACCTTCACCATCTGCTCAGCGGCCAGGTGCTTTGCGTCGCCCAAAGGAGAAGGCCTGCTCAGTTTGATATACGATTGTTCTTGATGGTTTGATGCATTTCATGTCCCTGCTGCTTGTGTTGCTTCAGGTGAAGCTGGCTGATGAACGACCAGGTCAAGCGGTTGAGCCCAAGAAGGCACCGTACTTAATTAACCAAATAGCTATGATCCAGGAAAAATGCAGGCGTTGCTCACTTTTCTAAAAAGTCATAGATGTGTGGTGCGTGATATATCATTGCAGGCTTTGAAGGAGGAGCAAATGGAATCACCGGATGTCAAACCGGCCCTGGCTCCAGTTTCTGTATATATAAGTGCATCCACATGGTTCAATTGGTTTTTAAAGAATTGTTTGTGTGGTCTTCTCAGGTTGCCCGGGCATCATCTGCAGTTCGTCCACCAGCGGTAGAAGAGGGGAATTGGCTTCGAATGGAAGCTTGCATGGACATCTTGATCTCGAGAATACTTGTGATATAAAAACGATTAAGCACCGGGATGTGAATCTGAGGATGTGCCTCCTGGAAATTTTGGGCATCAGATCAATCACCTTGGCCAGGCAAACAGCTTACAGGCCAACACTGCCATATTGTGAGAAATGATTGGTATGCCTGATTCAGGCTATTCGTCCACGTGCTGAACAACAACGTCCTGCCCCAGTACCTCCTCCACCTCCCCCGAACAATGAGCCTGTGACTGTGATCCCGGCTGAGGAGGAGTGAAACTGTGCACTGATATATTTAGAATTTGTTTTATATTTTAGACACGTCAGGAGCCTCCAAATTCTGGTGCAGAAGAGGATGATCAAGATATGGAGTCTTCCCCAGTGGTGACTTGTATGAAACATCTTTAAATCACTCATGCATATGTGACCCAAAGCTGGAGGTGGTTGGAATGACCAGCCGAATGGGGGATGAAGTGATGTCGGTGGCCTTCAATGAGGCTGCTGTGTTGGCTACGCAAAGTTCAATCAATGAATCAATGAATCAATGAATCAATCAATCAATCAATCAATCAATCAATCAATCAATCAATCAAT